CTGTTGTCATACTACACTACATATATATATATATATATATATATACACATCTTTAACATACACACACACCATTCTTATTGTAGAATTATATGGAACAGCTCAGGAGAAATTTTTTCTTAACATTATCTGTGGAAAATTATAGATATTTTTTTATGTATTAGCTTATATGGAATATCCTAGAAGTTTCTAGACAGTGCTTAGCATGTAGATAATGAAAGTAAGCATTTACAAATATAATAGTAACACGAAAGATAAAATTGAGTCACTATCATGTAATTTAACATGTGCACAAGTATTATAGCTGAGAAAGTCAACAACTCTTACAAGCACAACATAATTATTTGCAAAGGTTTCATTTTAGTAAAATTATATAGAATATGTCTAAACAACAGTGTTAAATACACATGAACAGTGACCCAGTTCCTTAATAGAGACAATATTATACATTTTCAACATTTTGTTTTTGGCTATCACTTATTTTTGGTGCACTTACTTGTTTTTTTACAATTTACAATAACAGACTAATCGGCAGTTACACAAAACAAAAAGACAGCTTTGATATCCAAGTAAATTATTGACCAAAAAAAAGTCCAGTTCACAGGGTACAAAGCACACATTTGTTTACTATAGTAACTACATAACGCTTAGGTCTCCTAAATACAAGATTTGATCTCACATCTTGAAGTTGATTGGGTATAAAAGAATTATTCTTGAACATATTGCAAAACAAAAAGTATTGAAAATATTTTTTAATTATTGTTTCATTATCACATATTTTGAGTTTTAAAATTCCAAATGATTATAAATGGTGTATAGTACAAATACAAATTACGTATATACATAATTTAAATCACCAAAACCTTAACTTTAAAGTTATAAAATAAAAAAATCTTGATTAAAGCTCACAAAGCAAAACAGTCAAACATTAATATCTCAAATACGTAAAATAAATACTAAATTTTACCTACAGCTAGAATATAGATGTTCTTGCATGTGAAAAAATGTCTTCATAATAAAAGCAAAAATATTTTATTGCAAAACACTTAACTATGCTTTAGTTAATTGACTGAAGCTTGAGTAGCCAAAATGCAAAAGTAAAAACAAGAGCGAGACAGGCTTTATCCAGCAATATCATCTTTTATGGTCGTAAAAACATTTTATTTTTTACCAAACCTTGTATATTACAGCTGTCATTACAGGACCTCTTGCCAAAAACTTCTGTACATGTAAATACAATATCTGAAGATCATTTGTTGGCTTCCTCCAGTTAATCATGTTGAAAAAATAAGAAATACTTTGTAGCAATAAATGCTGATTGAAAAATGGTTGGAAATTTTAAGCATTTCCAAGAGATTGTTTCATTGTAACCAGCTAATCACATTTGATGTTTAGCAGTCAAACAATGTTGTTAGGGGTAACTATGTCAATAACCAGTCCAAGTAAGTTTTCTCAGTTTTTGACCAGTTCACAGTTACCCAGCAGCGCCATGACATTAGTAATTTTTGAATCAACTAATGGGTATAATCTCTGGCACCTCACATGCATCTGTATGGCTAGCAATGGAATGAGAGGTTGACTTAACATATTTTAAAAGCATTGACAAAATGAAGCGGTCTCCTAACCCAATATTACTACAAAATGTTAAACATAAAAAACCACATGCATTATTTGAAAAAAGTATAAAGATTACTAGTATTTTATACACAGATATGTGAAAAATAGTTGTGACATCTTCAATGGAAAGGACAAAAAATATATTATAATTTTACATGGATGTCTTCTTATGATAAATTCTAATTCAAAATGCATAGATATACTTAACTAAACCCAATATCACTGTTATTATTAAAATAAAGACTACTGAATATGTACATTTCACTAATGTTATGGTATAAACATATTTTCTAAGCTGACAAAGCATAGTTATAATTAACTATATTAGTCATAAGACATTCAATAAATAATAGTAACAATTACTATAATAGGTGTACTATTATTGTCTTATGACAAACATACTTAATATTTTCACTACTGGTTGAAAATCATCTTTGCCATATTTTCATTTGATAAGATTTCAAAAATGATTAAGCCTTAGTTATGCATTCCTCACACTGATGTATTGGCCAGTCAAAAATTGTGTAATGGTGCTATAAAATCATTAGATTTGAAATGCACTGAGCATATTTTTGCATTGCCTGAAATTTGAAAACATCTTCCTGTGTCATTTTGGATTTTATGAATCCACAACCTATATATTGTTTTATTCTTTGGAAACTTGTGCCACATCATGTTCTTACCAGCCATTTTACTTTTGGTATGCCAGTGACTCATTTCAACATTAGGGTTTGTTTGTAAAGAATTTATTAAGTTAGAAATTATATTAATACGATTCAGCACTACTTTTTAATGTTATACCTAAGCAAAACATTTCTTGTTAATTACAAATTAATAAGAATTTTGCACAAATTTTGATTTAACACTATAAACATGCCTTTGGCAGGCTATACTTGTTAACTTGACCCATTACATAGTTTCACTACAGTTACCAAGATCATTCTTGGTATCCATAAAATGGATAAGTCTAGTTTGATCTATGATTCAGGGAGATTGACTGCAAAACTCTGTAGTATTTAACTAGGATTTTGAAAGAGGAATTTCACGTTAATCACCACCTTGATGCTGAATGACAAAACTGAGTTGCTGTATACAATTAATGATCATTAAATTATTACCAAAGAAATTGCTAGATAAGTTCTAGCTTATGCTCCAGGTTGGAATGCTCATGTACATTAAACATGATACAACTTCAGAAAATTTTGTTCAATATTTTGGCTAGCTACGCCTTCATACACAGAGCTTAATATCAATACAAAATTATGGAAAGAAAAATAGAGAATTATGATAAAATGTTCATTAGGAGAAGTTAGATTTTAAATTTGCAAATGAACTAATCTATGAGATCTAAAGATAAAAGTCCTCCAGTAAGAACCAAATAAGTTACTAATAAATCATGCTAATTAATCAAAAGCTTTTATGTAATTCTTTGGTTAGAGTGAAGGAAAATAGAGACATTTCTTTGTTTTTAAAAAATAGATATAAGGATGTTAATACTTCAACTTTCTTGGCTTAATCCTTTTTCATCCACTACATTGCTCAAGATCATATTACACTGCTGTAAGAGGCTTCTTGCACACAATACAAAGATTGCTTTTAACTGATAGATTAACTCTAAACTGGTAAAAGTTATTGTTTTTTTCAAGCATAATTGCTTAAATAGAAGTCTAAAATGTTAAATCTTTTTTACCTTTTATAAGACTTTAACTAGCCTCATTTACAAACTTATTTAAGGGACAAAAAAACACCTCAAATTCTCTCATTTTTTAGATTAAACAACAAGATGTTTTGAAAATTAACTGACTTCATAAGGTTTAGTATCATAATGGAAACTGTCATTTTCTTTTTCATGTATAACAAGTTTATAAGTTACTATCAACTTTACCTAATATGAAACTGATATTATTATGTAATTTTATCAATAACATTCACCCATTCAAAAACAAACCAGAATCATTTATACCAAAAGATCTTAATTACTTCAATCCACAGCCAGGATATATTCATCCCACCAGTTTAATCTTACTACACCTCATCAGCCTATTTTCTTTATCAGGACTACCCTACTTGGAAATTTTAAGAACATATCTAGCTAATTGTTTAAGAATGAATAGGGAACATGATCCCATTCCAACACATGATTTGCTTGTGGAGCCTTAGAAATTAGGTCAACATGTCACACTTACAGCATCACACAGCATGAACATTTCAGCTTATCAATGATACAGTGTCTATGTAGCTAAGGTTTCATGCTTTATGAATAGGAATTTTAATTTTCAGTAAGAAAACAAGAATCACAAGTATTTTAATTGCTTTCTTGTTAAAATAATAATAAAGCATACCCTAAGTAAATAGAATTTGTGCATTTCAAATTGTTTTATCTGCTGTTTGTTTCACATATCCATTTTTCTACTTGATCCATAAAGGTAAATTTGTTATAAAAATATACAACTTTTGGGAAGAAACCATTTAACCATCTCAAAATCAGCCTGGATTTGTTCTAGAAAGTTCATATTCCAAGCAAATAATGGAGAATGTCCCATTTTAGACTTGAATTAAGATTAAAGATGCTACACAAAAGACAGAAGTAATCTGTATTATTGACCATTTCCCATCCAGTTTGTTTACCAAAATTTACAAACTTACTAACTCTCCTTACTTTGCTTGTTCTCTCAAATAAAAACTTAAGTTCATTTTGCATTTACTCACTCAGATAATAAATTAAAGCAAAAACCTTAAATGTAGCTTCCTTCCTCGTTAGTAATCAGAACTTCCATAGTTAATTAACAGCATGATCAAGAATTTTATTATAAAATGCCATAAAATAGTAACACATACAGCAATAGCAAATACAAATAATCTTAACTGTTTTTAACAAATTTTTAAGAATGGTTAACATGAAGTTCTTTTGACAAAAAATTTTAATTTTTACAAAGGAGTTAAGCAATGATTAGACAGAAGAACTGCATTATGTTTAGTCAAATTCACTTATTATAAAATGTTGACATGCTGGTTTCACAAACAATACTACTTGTAGAAATTTATTAGAAACAACATGATTAGGATGATAAAAAACTTTGGAAGTGTTAGCAAAGGCTTGCACTTCAGAAGAATAAACTTATTGAATTACAAATGTCAACTATACAGATTTAAGAACAAAGGTGGACAAAGGTCAGAACTAATGCAGTAGCTAACGGCATTAATCATTTGCAGCATGGAAATTGCCTCTGTTCAAGAAACAGAAAAAGTAAAACTGTACTTGTAAAACAATTTTGTTCTGAGTAAAGATAAATCCATGTCTTTCTTTTTAACATAACATATAGTAAATTCTGAACAACATGCAGTCTTCATTTAAATTACATTTTTCAATATGTTCGTATTACTGATTTTACTTTTTTTTCCCCATTGTGTTTTCTTACTGTAATTTATCACAAATTTTTAATTTATTATTTCTCAATTTATTATTAAAACCAGAACAGTTCATCAAATGTTTCAACAAGCTAACTAACAAAATTCGTGATTTATATTGTGCAAGTTGGAATTAACAAAAAACGGATTATATGTTTCATTCCTTTTTTGTTTGGCAAGATGAAAATTTGGACTTTCATAGCTATAAACTTACTCAACAGGTTAAGTGTTAGCAACCTTAGTTAGTGTCTGGAGGTTGAATGTTGTGTGACCTTGATAATGATAAGCAGAAAACAAAATAACATTCTGTCACCTTTTTAGTGTTATATTTTAATATCATTCCTCATCCTTCTTTACTTAGCCTGCTACAGTTGGACTGGATGTTAACTTAAGACTTTGAACGAATATTACATCTACATATGTTTTAATACATGCATCCTGGCTAACGTTTTCCAAAAACTCGAGTATCGGGGGTAATGTTACATTGATACTAGTCGTTACCTAAATTTAGGCTAACTCTCCACAGCTTTTTTTTTTTAATATGTTAGGCCTAAAACACATTTCATTACCTCACCGATGGACTATGTGCCTTTTTTGGAAGATTCAGTTACAAAAACATTTAACTGAGCAACTCAATATAACCTTTCTATTTTATGTCTTAAACGTTTATTACCTCATTTTTGTGAAAACGATTATGTTTTAGTGAATTAACGTAATATTAATCTTACCCACGCGTACGACCTCAGTATTCGTGGCTCGCCGCCATATTTGAACCAACAAAAGGCAATTCAGTTACATAACCCTATACAGTTTGACATACGAAAAACTTAAAAATTTAAGAATACTTACCACAAAGTCTACGTATACTCTGTTCACATATAAAGCGTAAATAACCACAATTTTTCCTAGCAACAACATAGGTCTAACTTCATCTTACCACAGATCAGTTCATCTACTTTTCGCTCAAAACTATATCAAACACAGAGCCACAGGCGCTAGGCTTAGCTATGTTACAATCAAGGTCTGAAAAGGTAGGGAGAATTTAGAATATTATCAAAAAGATCCCTTTAAGTTTGACCCGTTTTCACCGCAGTTGCTTATTTTTCTATTAGGAGTATTCCTTACTGGATATTTTAATATTGATTTCTAAATAGCGAGTCAAAAAACTTATTTTTTCATTTCATTTATTACGTAAAAACGACAATTGCTAGAAATGTTCCCCTATTAAAATTTGTGATTGGCAGGTACCCCGCCTACTACCACATTGTTTGAATTCCAATGTAGTCACGTGGAGAAGTGATTGACAGTAAACCACGCCTCAATTAAGCATTTTTAACATTCCTCATACTATCACGTGAGTACGTTAAGTAAATGCTCCTCCCAAACGTTAAATTCTAACATGATATTTTATCCACGTGACTATTGTCGACAAAGAGTTTTTGTGTCACAAACGGGCGCACGTGGCAATTGGGATTTATTGTTTGCAAATCGCAAGAGAGCTTATAATACATAAATACAAAGATAGACAGATATATATTTGCGTGTGTTTATGTGTATGTGTATTATTAATTGTAATTAAGTATGAATACATAGCAAACACTTGAATGACAATTGAAGTACTTATGTCGGTGTTTCGAGTTTTGATTTAACGTTATTTCCTTTGTTTCTGTATTGTTATGAAAATTGTCTTTTAATTGTATTTTCAATCTGAATATATTTTGTATATAACAATGTTTGGTATATTAACCTAAAATAAATCGAGTAATAATAACGTATTTGGTGACTGTTTTATATCATCAGCATTCATCTGACTTGCTTGTTTTGTTTTTGTAATGTTTGAAAAGTATTTAACATTAGTATAACGTGTAACAGTTAAGTTTGTGTCCTTTGTTTATTTTGTATGCAAAGATCGAGATGGGCAATAAAAACTTTGTTGTTGTGCGTTAAACTTTATGCAAAGATCAACTAGATATTATTGTGTATCTAATAGACTACTAGATTTTCTAGGGTAATTATTTTTCAGCAATTACTTATTATTTGGTTAATTCTTTGAAGGATTTTGCATGTTAACCCAGTAAGATGAGAAGTACAAATCGGTCATTTTAATCGGATAGCTTGTTTGTGCTAGAACAATGATTCAGTGGCGTTTGGTAATGTTGAGTGTCTGCAATATTTCAATGCACACCCGAGTTGGGGCATTATAAGGATTTTGTCAAACATATCTTTCAAACTTTGAGTAATTCCTTGCGAGCATCTGAATAACTCTGTAATTCTATACTTAAAATAGTTTCATTTATCAGTCTGTAGATTGAATCATAATGTGTTTTTTTTAATATGACAGATACTTTAAATGATTGTTTCTTTATTCTTAATCTAAACATTTTGTGGCGCCATCTAGTATGGATAAACTTAGTAGTTTTATATAATTGATGCTTGAAACCGTCGGTACTTCTGAAATTCCATAATTACAAAATTAAGGAAAACGAAAACAATTGTAAGTTTCACAAATACATAATTTATTCACGATCATGGTTTCGCCAACAGAGCCATCATCAGGTACAGACTGAAATATTTTGTAACCCTGTACAATTATCTTGTTTTTTCCTCAGTTTTGTTAGTAGTTTTATTCTTAAAAATTGAAATGTAAATCTTTGAAGGATAAACACAATTTAAAATTCAATTTATTTTAATATGAAGTACATTTCTAGTTACATAGTTTCAATTATAGTTTCTTAAGTAATTGCTTTTTTTCTACTAATTCTTATGAACTTCAATAATATATTAGAAGTTGCGAGGCTTAATATTTACATATTTATTGTTTAAACATAACGAACCTTCATTTGCTAGTATATACATTGCACGACTTGAGATGAACGTATAACATTAATTGCCCCCCCAGTGGCACAGCGGTATGTCTGCGGACTTACAACGCTAGAAACCGGGTTTCGATACCCGTGGTGGGCAGAGCACAAATAGCCCATTGTGTAGCTTTGTGCATAAATTCAAACAAACAATAACATTAATTCGAAAACGCTTCAATGCTCATTATGAGCTCATATTATTTTTGAATATTGGTCTCTGTCAGTCTGATTGTCTTTAAAATCTCGTAATTATTTGTCTTAAATTAAACGTTTCAATCAGTATTCCTAGAACAATAGATGTAAAAAAAATCTGCTTTCAGAAATATTTCTAAATAGGAGAGCTCCATGTAACATCTGTGTAAATCTATATATAAAATGCTAAATTAAACATGTAAATGTATTAGAACAGAACAATGCTTGGTCAATCTAATTCAGCTTAACCTAAAGGACAGGGCCCGGCGCTTGACTCGCAATCTGAGGGTCGCAAGTTCGAGTTCCCAGCCCACCAAACATGCTCCCCTTTTCAGCCATGGGGGGCGTTATAAATCCCACTATTTGTTGGTAAAAGAGTAGCCCAAGAGTTGGCGGTGGGTGGTGATTAGTTTTTAATTGCTAAATTAGGCACAGAGCACAGATAGCCCTCATGTAACTTTGCGCGAAATTCAAAACAAACAAAGCCAAATCTAAAGGACAAAAGGCCTATAATATGAAAATTTTGCCTAAAATTAACTACAGAAGTTATTTAACCTATAATAGAGTGACTAAATCTAAGGAATAATGGCATAAACAAGTTAATTTTTAACTCGTTTTTATTTTTTCGCATGTGTATCGAATTCTATGTAGGCCCACTTGTGTAGTGTTGTTCAGTTTAAGGTTATTTTACATACTTTGCATCCATTTTTTAATTAAATGTGAGCTCCATTTCTTAGTAAACAGCTTCAGTCTTCATATACGTCGTACGTAATATGAAACGTGGATCTAAAAGGAGAAGGAACATATCAGCACCACGTAATGGTGAGCTAACATGCCTTCAAAGAGAAAGCAAACTCTTGTTGAAGATATATAATTTGTATCAAATGCCATCACGGTTTGCAAGTACCATATATCTCATTCTCTCATCGTTACAACATTTTAAGCTTTTTGTAAGATTATAATTTGGATCATACTAAATCTAATGTATAAGCTCAAATTTTGATGTTATTTTCTGAGAGTTAATATTACTATAATAATATTTTATCCTCCTATAACTAATATAGGGTAGTCCCCAAGTGAGTCAGTGGTAAATTTAGGACTTAAAACGCTACAGTGCAGGATTCGATTCCTTGCAGCGACAGAGCGCAGATAGCCCATTGTATAGCTTTGCGCTAAAACACCACTAACTACAAAGTATAGGGCATATTCATCGTATAATACGGTATAGGATATATCATTATTCAAATAATTTTTCTAAATCTTTATGTAGTTATTTTATATGTAGTTAACGACTTTCTGATAAACTTCCACCAATCCTCTTGCTTTGATAAATGTTACACACTACAACTATTGTTCTATTCAGCTTATACCTGTTTAGCATTATTTCTATGTAGGCTTCCTCGAGCGAGGTTATACTCATTTCAAGGGATGATACAAAATTTGTACAAGTTAGTATAAGTTGGGGACTCTCTCCGTTTAATTGTTTGTTTGTTTTGAATTTCGCGCAAAGCTACACGAGGGCTATCTGCGCTAGCCGTCCCTAATTTAGCAGTGTAAGACTAGAGGAAGGCAGCTAGTCATCACCACCCACCGCCAACTTTTGGGCTACTCTTTTACCAACGAATAGTGGATTGACCGTCACATTATAACGCCCCCACGGCTGAAAGGGCGAGCATGTTTGGTGGGACTGGGATTCGAACCCGCGATCCGCAGACTGCGAGTCGAGCTCCTTAACCACCTGGCCATGCCTCCGTTTAATATATTTGTTCAAAATAATCTTCAAGGTAAGTACTCTAAGGATTATGGTGCACCACACGAGGAGCGGTCTAACCTAAAAGTGTGGTATTTCGTAATTCTTAATCCTGTCTTCGTCTTCTGTAGACATATTCTGATCCTTCTTTTTACCCAACTGCCAGTTACAGTCTTACAATGAGATAAGGGCCAGCCAGTTAAGTGAAATATTCATATCATGTTTTCATTTATTTGTATAACTAAATATTTTACCTTATTGTACATTTGTTTAATTGTATTTCCTTTACCATTGCGTTCTTCTCATTTCTCTGCATAACAATTCTGTAATCTGCATTTTGCAGTTGCTTATAACTTTATGTAATCTACAATGGACTGGCATCCCGTCCAAATAGAATATATCACCAATTTTATCCGCGAGTGCCACTTTAAAGCACAGATCGAAAGCAATGGACCTTTTTGCCTTACGAGGCATGGCATGGATTTAACTTTCTTACCAAAACTCTCTCTCTAGGACATCAATGTACCTCAATACCACACGTGTAGCAACGTCTAGTGATGAAAACAATTTTGTCTCATATGATAGTTGCATTGTGTTCTACTTTACCATGTATAAGACTGCTTCTATGACCATACATGCATTATGATGGAGTAGAGATACATGTGCTTCAATTTTGTGATTGGTCAGCTACAAAAAGAAGGTGAATTATAAATACAGTGTTAGCATTCTCAAACAAATTTATGCCCATCTTGGAAGACTCGAACAATTCTTTCTCAGCTGTTTGACTTTATGATTGTTCGTATTATATTTTAATTTTAAGTGACATTTATTTAAATAATGTATACTTTCCCTTCATTTACTACAGTTTATCTTTATTCAATCCAACAGTACATTATTCTTCTACTCAAACAAGCAGCCAACTTTTAATTCACCTTTCTTTAGTAAATACTATGTTCATTTCATTCAGCTTTTCTCCCTGTTTAGTATTTTTCATTCTTCCTAGAATGCATCATCACACCCATCCTTCTGATAACTAGGTCCTCGAATCTCTAGTTATTGCAAAGATTAGGTAATAAGATACAAGTTCACAAATCCGGCTTCGATACCTGAAGATATTCAGTATGTTTCGACATTTGTGGTGAATCAGAAAATGACTGAAGGAAGAGTGTGCACATATTACGAGAAATACAACATTGTTATGGGTTAGCTATTGATAAGATTAAAAATGGTTTATAATATCTGAGGAAAAAGGTTAACACAGTTAATGTAAATAAAATATTCGAAGTATGAGCAAAATTTCATCATATATACCGTTGTACTTCATTGGTGAAAAATA